CTTGAGTTTGGGGCCAGACTGGGACATGGTGAGACCCTACTTAAAATTACCAAATAAAATAAAAGAAGGAAAAATGATAGAAAGGGAAATCATATTCTAATTCATATATTTTGTAGGTTATTTTACTATGAAGTTATTTTTGTTTATTAATAGCGCATTTCAAGGCACCAAACTGATCACCGATCATAAATTCATAGTTTTCTCATACAATGATCATGTCTAACTATACTTCCTAGTGGCTCTATAGTAGTAGACTATGCTGTGTTATAGTTTAATATTAAAATGAAAGCATAAAAGACATTTTTGTTCAAATCTGGGGAAATACTCAGCTTTGCTAGGTCTCACTTTACACCACAACTATTCAAAGATTTTTTTATTTATATATAAACATATATTACAATATGTTTTCATATAGATGGTATTGTACATGCAAAACAATGTCTCATCTCAAAGCAGATTTTGAAATTTGGTAGGAAGAAGTTCAATGGATGTAATGGTATTTTAATGTTATTTTATAGAACCAATCAGAAAAAAAGGGAATTTTTTTATTACCAAGAATCCTTTTGCTTTTGTCTATCCAAAAAAAAAAATTCTAAAGTTGAGAAGTTTCATTTAAAGCTATAAACACACACACACACACACACAGTCAAATGCAGAAAGACAGCAGTGGGAATCTATTATCTTTTGTCTTACTCATTTCTTACTCATTTATGTAACTTTTAATTCAGGTTTTCAGGGTTTCAATAAAATCGTTACATTGTGATGCTAATATGTAGGCTCAAATATAGCAAAGATTTCAAAATTCAAGGTCTAAGATGCCTCTGAGTCTAAGAAACTGGTGGCTTTCACACCCCAGAAGGTCTCAAAAAGAGTTTCATTGGCTCTGGTCAGCCTGAAATTCCTTTGACTTTGTCCGGAAAATGTTTCTCATTCACAATATGGGAATCAAAAAAATGATTTGGTGATGTGTGTTCCTTTAAGAGTCACCAATAAGAACATGGATAATTATTTTTTAATCAATGCAAGGATAATGTTATTCTCAAATTCTAGCTCTGCAAAATCATGCATAGACCTACCCTGATTTTACAGTCAAATTGTGAAGGCCCAGGTGAATCGTGGGAATCTCTGTTTTAGAAAGTAATGCAAACAAACACTGGCAAATTATTTGACACTCTGAGCTGAAAGTTGTAATGCCATCTACGTAATCTCAATTAGAACGTTACGCATTCTGAGGTGAATCTCAGTGCCAAAGCTCATCTTTAATTTGGTCTTTGAAACCTCAGATCTAATGCCATTAAGAAGATTTAAATATACTGTGATAAATACCACTGCACTCACATCTATCCGTGGCAACTAGATCTAAAATGACTAACCTCCACAGTCTCGCTTGCAGTTTCGGGTACTTCACTTGTCTCTTCCAGGGGGTGAATTTTCCTTCATCTGCACATTCTTCTAACAGGAATGTGCAGTTAAATGCTTGACCTGAAGACACTAAGGTACCAGTGGTCACTTGACAGGTGCCAAAAAAAAAAAAAAAAAAAAAAAAAAAAAAAAAAAAAAAAAAAAAAAAAAAAAAGAGAAACCTTCTTAAATTCTCAATGCACAGCTTGGGCCGTTTGTGTTATTCGAGGCTGTTTTGTTTGCTCTTCATTAGTCAGTTAGCAGAAATCTATACTGAAGTACATTTCACCAGAGACCATATTTATTGTAGCTTTGTAGGTGAATGTAAACTGTATTTGAAGTTACAGTCATCCTGTCATTCCATTGTTGAAGGACATTCCTTTGCTTTGAAGCATTACTTACGAGATAAACACACGCCCTTCTTTCAAGCTTGAAGGTCATTTTCTATCTGACCTCTGTCAGAAGAATTCTTTGCAGCAGGCTTTATAGCAATGCTAGGGAGAGGGACAGTGCCGTGGGGGTGGGGACATACAGACTTCTCCCCAGGCCCCTTGGGAGCCAGGTTTCTCACACCTGCATAAGTAGTGAAGGCTGCCTTAAAGAACGTGATCAACACCATTCTGTGCGCTACCTCCCGCCCCATTTCCTTCCAGAGCAATCTGGTCCTCCTGTCACTCAGGATAACTACCCCTTGCCAGCATCACCAAGATCGACAGTCATAGTAATCTTATCAGGAGTGCGATTCCCCAGCTGGGGCCTTGAATTTATCTAACTTGGAGGTAGCTGGTGAGGGCATCTAATCCCCTGTGTTGATGTGCTGAGCTTCCAAACAATTCACAGTGGTCCTCTTACGAAGATGACCTCGTTAGTTGACAAAGTCAGGAAGACGTGTGTCCAAATGCGACAGACTAATTAGAAACCTCTGATTTAGCCCAGTAGTGGTATGGAAACAGAGTTGCTTCTAGCTGCTTGTAGATAACTCGGCCTTGCCCTCAAGTAAATTTCCAGTGAGCCAAATGAAAACTGGACAGAATGTTAGAGGTGACAGTCGCTGTAACCCCTAGACACTAAAGAGTTTTGCTGTCTTTTTAATCCTAAAATAAAGCTGACAGGGAAATCGTAAGTTTCTAGAAAATATTTGATAATGTGTTTCAGTTATTGCACAGGTGGTTTTCTTATGTCTTTTAGATGATTCCTTAACCATTTTTTTTTTAAAGTTTCATGACTTCAAAGATCTTAATGTGAAGAAAAGCCATTTTAAAAAACTTTGCTGCTTCCTGTCCCCATCCCCCTGGCTGGGGCTGCCTTCTGACCTCCCTACAATGCACAGTGCTATAACAGAAGAGCATCGCTGGGGTGCTAGTTTATGGCAGAGCCCATCGCTATTGAAACCTCTGCTTCGCTTCTCTCATATCTCCTCCTGTTTGATGAATTCTTAGTGCTGGCAAGCGCTGAGAGAGGACCATCTTTTCCCTACAAAAGTGACCTTTGACTCTAGGTGGCGTTTTCAAAGCTTGCTTTCACTAAATAGTGCAAATAAAATTGAGTAGCAGGAAGGGCTAAAGGAAGTTAGAAAATAGATTTAAAAGCATATCTAAGGCATAAGGACTCAGCTCGTTTAAAAAACGTCCTCTGTACTTTTTTTCTGTTTATCTTCATAAACATATCTGTTTATCAAGATACAGGACTGCATAAGTATATATTTATAAACTTGTTTCCAGTTGGCATCTGAGAGTAAGTTGGCATCTCTGTCACACATATACACATAAATGTGCATACATATGAATATATATGCACATGTTTATTTTTCATATGAGAATCTGAGTGTAGATATATAATTGCATGGATACACTTGATTCTAATGTATCTTGTTAAAAATGACCACATTTTTTTATAAATAAACTTACTTATATAGATTTTATTCTTAGCTGGCATCAGAAAGCAAGGTGGCATCTGGTAGAACTTTTCAGTTTTCATTTCCTGCGTGTGTGTGTGTGTGTGTGTGTGTGTGTGTGTGCCATGTGAGTGCCTATGCAAAGTATGAATGTTAGAATGGGTATGTTGTGTTTCTTATTGCTTTGTGTATTTCCTTCAGTAATGACGAAGTAAAAGTAACTAGAATTATAATTATTACATGTAATATTCAAAGACTGAATTTAGAAAGCAGTTAAAGATTTTTTTTTCACAAACAACCAAATGATGGGGGGCCAGTATTTACAGTGAGCTGGCGAGCACAAAACCAGTTAAACCATCAGTAGAGGAGTCAAGACCCAGTATAATAGGTGCTATTTTATTGGGTATAGTAGACCTTTTTGTGCTCTGAGAAGTTACAGTTTAGTGCTTTTTATATATGCATGCAAATTTGAATTATGTAATTTATAGTAAATTAATTTGCCTTAGTTGAAGTTTTGGTTGTTCTTGAGAGCAGTTTTTAAAAACAATTGCAAGTGCCAACAATACAAATGGAATTTGCCTTCCAAAACGTATTCGCTTAAACTTCTTTTTTAACAATATGTTAATATAGGCTTAAGCTCCAGATCTAAGACAAAAAAAAAAAAGTCCCCTGGAAAAAAGTAAGATACACCCAAGTGCATGAGTTTGGGATTCTCAAAGGAGAGTAGTCTAAAGACTGACTGATAACGTACTAGGTTAATAAAGATTTTTATTTTCAGTTAACATTTTTGTGAAAAGAGAACAACAACCAAATTATTTATGTATGAGAAAGAAAGTCAAAGCCAACATCCATTATTAGAGCCTTGTGTACTATCACTTTTCATTGTATTCTACTAGGAAATTCAAGTACTATGAACATTCTCTTAAGATATATATAGCCACACGCACACACACACACACACACACATATACACACACACAGTGTGGATGGATGGCTGGTAACATCCATTTAGCATTTCAGTTTGCCACAATAAAGAAATAATTCATTCAGTTTTGATGTTAATCTTGCATAGATTGAATATGTATTATTTGCTGCAACTTTGTACATAAAACTTCGGGTTACTGCCTGCTGACATACTTGTTAGTGTAATAGGTGGAATAATTTAGACATAGTCACTTTGGCTGTATAAAAGGCTTATATGTAGCACTCTGAAGATGGCATGCGTAGATGGTCATGAATTTTTGCGATAGCTAAGATAATATAAATGAAGATGATGAAAGATCTATTTCCTAGGCATGATGAGAATGTGCCATTTCTGTGTAGACACACAAGATGATCAACTGAAATGGATGTGGCTTTTCTATGAGGGAGCTACCGGGTTTACATACAGTTGCTCTTCCTAATGGTTAATACCTTGAAACTTCCGTTTATTCTGATTGCTACAGATGTCACAGGATGCTTTTTCCTGTGGTTTAGTTTGTAACGTGTTTCAGTCATTTCAATCAGTATTAATTAGTATTAAATTGAATAGTTTGATTTTTATATTTTAAGGTTGAATGTTTCCTCTTTCACTGTATGTTGCTGCAATGTTCTCATGTTGTGTGTGGTTGACTAAAATTATTGCTGAAGTGTAAAGGAGAAAAATCTAATATTATATTGACATGGAAAGAAAGCTTAACCTGTTTTCTTGCTCTTTTTTTTATAGAGAACACCTGTTCCCAGCGCTGAAGCATTCCGGTGGTTCTTTTAAAGCAGTAGTGTATCTTATTTTCAAGGCATTTGGAAACGAAGGGCAAACTAATGTCTTGTTTTAAGAAACCACTTAGTCCACCATTGAAGAAAATATCCAGAAATTATTTTCATTTTATGTATAGGGATTTCTTCAAAAAACAAGAGGAAAAGAAAAGAAAAAAAAGACATAAAATTAACAGGGAAGCTTGGGGAATTGGCCAGTCTATTTACTTTCAATACACTGATTCTTCCTTTGATGTAATTCAGCTATACTAGTGAAGTTGTTGTCTATTTTGAAAGTGGCTGTAAAAAAGAAAAAAAAAATAAGTTTGGGTAACCCCCGACTGTAAAATCATGTATCTTTGCAAAGTACATATCTATACTTCATTTTCAAATATATGTGATTCAGTACTGTAAACTGTACAGATAGCAGCTTGTATTTTGTGTGTTTAGACACAAGGAGACAATCATGTCTGAGCATCTACGGAGATTAACAGTTGTACACAACAATATGGTTCTGCAAGTTAAATCTGGAGCAATAAATTTTAGCTTTAAATATTTTTGCCAGTGGTTTGTAGAAGCAGCAGCAACGCTGGTGGTAATTCATGCATCTTTCTGTAGAGACTCGGTGGCCGGTTTTATAAGACTGAGAGATAACGCTGCATCCAGCATTACCTTCAAATGTGTCAATGTAAGAGGGAAAGCCCCTGTGAAGGTTTCAATGAATCTTTTGAGCACTATATTAGAGTAGTGGTTATGCACTTGCGTTGCTTACAAACGAGCTGTACAGAGGGTATACCCCCAAATACTTAGTGTAGTTGACTTGTTTGGGTTGCACTGTAAGGGGAGTACTCAGAATAGTTGGGAAATGCAGAATCAGTTGTATAAATTTTTTTAATTAAAAAATTGTTTCCTAGGCTGAAACAGATCATAGAAAGAGACAGTCATGCCTGACAATTTTTTTTTTTCCTAGTCACACACAGGCTGTCCAAGCTTTTTGGTTGTTTATTCTTCTGCTTTGGGGAGGGGTAGGAAAGATAAAAACAGAAGGGTCTTCAAATGTTTTAATACCATGTATGACATTGAATGGGCAGATTGGAAACAATCCTTGAATGCATCAAAGCCTACTTTAAGGCATGGCTGGGCATATTTTCAAGTTAAAAATAATTAAAGACATTCATTAAAGTGAGGGTTTTTTTGTTTGTTTGTTTCTTTATCTTCCTTTCCATAGCCTCTCAGTTTGACGAGTGTTTTTCCCCAGCCTCTCAGAGGAACACCCACTGCTTCCATTCCCCTTCTTATCCCAGGATGCTTTCTTTCTATAAAGCAAGGCCAAAGTGAGAGGAATTTCATAAAAGACGAGACAGCTGACGCCCCCCCCCAGGATGTTTAAAACCCAGGAGCCTCATCCTGTAAGATTGGGTTTTCCTAGGACAGTTGCATTTCTTAAAGGACGCCTATCCCATTAAAACAAATACTTTAATTTTTTTAAAAAAAAATTAGACTGTAAGGGTCAGTTTCAGGAATAAAACATAATGTAGTAAAAAACATAGAATAGCAAAGTTGCCATGTTCTCCCGTCTTTGTTCTATCTGCCTGTCAAACTGGTGAGTGAGAAGGAAAACAACAGAAGGGTGGTGGTAGAGCAGTGAGAACTTGGAAGTGTAACTTGCTTCGAAATCTTTTAGTTTTGAATAGGAAATGAGATTACAATTGTTTTCTAAAGGCGGGACAAGTCCAGTGTCACTGGGACACCTTGATGAGAGCAGAGTAGGTTTGTATGAAGCCAGTGTGGGATAGCAGTGGGATGAATGTGCCTAGCTAGCGTACCAACGCCTAGTCTGCAGTATGGTCAAGCAGTCTCTGTGAGGAAAATGTATTACACCCACCTGTGTTTAGAGAAAGGAATGGAATCATCAGAAGCTAAAATGTATATTACTTTTGAGATAGCTTTCTACTCCATGTGTATTCCTTAGAGGGCTGGTGGTTATCATTTCTGCTTCTGCTGTAGGACCAATGAGCGCTGTAAGTTCTTCATTGTCCCGTTGTTTCTTTTCTTCTCGCTCTCTCTCTCCCTCTGTATTTACAATTTTTATTTTACTTTATTCTTATTTTTGCCAGTGTGTTAACTATGAGTATGTGGAAACTTACTTACACTCTTGAATGGGAAGTTTCCCTTGCATTTGTAAAAAAAAAAAAAATGATTACAAAAAAAGTTCTTTTCAGAGTGTATTAGGCACACAATAGGGACCTCATAGCAACATATGGACAGTCAAAAACTCAAGGTGGTATTGCATGTCTTGATGTATTCTGTTTTTTAGACTTTTGTGTTTTGTTTTTTTTAAGACAGTGAATATGTGTATTGTAAATGTGTGTTTCTTATGGCAGTTCATTTATTTTTAATGAAAGGAATGTGTTACTATAATGAGCAGGGTGGCCTTTTTCTTTAATTCTTACCTTTTGTTATTTACGGTAATTTCTCTTATACCACATACTTTTTATATTTTCCCTTAAACTCAGTTTACAAAATGTAGGGTACATATACAGTTCTCACTGGTGATGGTAAAGAAATTATCCTAGATTCCCTCTAGTTTTCTGTCTCAAGTGTCGGTCTACAGACAACTTGTAACCTTAGGGCAGTGACTTAAAGGTGTGCATTTTCCTTATTCCAAAATGTCAATGAAACATAACCTTTAACAGTTGCTCACTCTATGTTCCATTCTTCATATCAAGGAAATTTGGAAATTAGCCATCAGATTGTAGGTTGTATATATACAACTTAAAAGTCACACCTCAGATATTGCTAAGGTTATTAGAGAAATTTACACACACTTGAGTTCAGTCATCAGTGGGTGTCTTGTCCTGGCAGCATTTGTGAGAAGCACAGGAGAATTTATGGGCTATATACACCTGCTGTACTAAGCAAATGTTCCTCTTAGCTAGCCCTCAGCACTCTGGGAATGTTGTAACGCAGAGCTGCCTTCTCTGGCCTTCAGACTAAGGTGAGTTTCTTTCTAGTGGCCTCCATCTGTCCTCATACAAGCAGGGGCATGCTCACAAAGTAGTACTGAATCCATCCATGGGACACAAGTAAAATCATCGTCCCCCTAAGATATGCAGATATAAGAAGTCTCCTGGTGGCTTAACCCCCAACCTTCAGTTTCCTTCTGAGCTATCCCAGGGAGTGGAAGACGATGGGCTTGCCATGACTTAATATTAAGTAATCATTAAAAGAAAGAAATGTTCCATCCCTGTCAGAACCCCTGGCATGGACGTTGTGCAATTAGTACTAAAGCACAGAAAGCCTTGAAGCCGATAGTATCAGTAATCAAAGAATGAAAAGAGGGGCGCACTTAAATGAATGCATGATTCGGGGTCAAATATGTTGGGCAGAGAGCTGTAGTGGGTCTTTGATCATGGTGAGATTCACAGCAATAGCAAACAGTTGGTTCCATGTAACAGATAAACGTATCAGATTTTGCTTTTATTCCATTTGGCGTTTCACACTGAGATCTGTATTCCTAGTGAATGGAGCACAGCTACTGTGTTCTGAGGGATTCCATTTCACGACGGCCAAATAGATATTTCAGGACACGGGTCTCAAAGTGTACTCCTTTTCCGGTGTCCTCCCATTCCCAACTGTGCAGTTATCGGTTACATTTTCTAATAGATATTTGTGTAAAGGTGTATGTAAGCGTGTGCAGTTATTTAAAAAAGCAGTTTTGGAAAACAGTGTATTTATTGAAGAAAAAAATCACTTATGGGGCATGTACAAAACTGTAAAAAAATTAAAAATCACTTCAATTTGCCCAGTAAAGTTGTTTTTGTGAAATTTCTGTGTTGTTAAATAAAGGACTTTAGTATTCAAAATATCTCCATTTTTCCATGACGAAAATTTTATTTGTGGGATTTAAATTAATGAGCACTCAGTTATGAAAATCTAATATTGATTATATGCAAGTTTGTTATTCTACATGTGCCCTTATCTCAGTGCTATGATGCTCTGTGCAAATCTTTCATAAAATATGCTATGATTGTTCTTTTTGTTCATCCATATCTGCCTTAAGTCTGCCTATCCATCATCTATCTATCTATCTATCTATCTATCTATCTATCTATCTATCTATCCATCCATCCATCCAATTTCCATAAAGAAAAAAGAATATTATGCTTAGGATCTATTTTTCTTTAAAACTTGTAAAGACTAAGTTAAAGATGAACAAGTGAACCCTAACTCCCCTCCTCCTCATCCACTGTATGCATGCCTAAAGAAAACACCTCAAGCCTTCCTTCTGCCTTGAATGAAAATCTTTAGTGGTTCAGACTCTTGAAGATGTTGTACATGAAGAACTACGTACGGCACATGAGATTGTGTCTCCGGCCACTCCCTTTCATTTTGTTTGGGTATCTGCATTGTGTTAGTTTTTCTTGTAATGAAATGCTGCCATCAACCACTTTGCCTTACTATGTGCTAAAGCCCTGCTTCACCTCTTCTCAGTACGAGGGCTAGTTTTATTTGATGCCTTTGAGACTACACACACATAAATTCCAACTAGAACATGGTATTAAACCTTGGAAATCCTTGATATAGGAGCACAACAGAACTTCATACTATTCAAAGACTTCATGTTCACAGACTACTACATGAAGATGGTTTATGTGTGTATTGACATCAATGTGTGCATTGTTAGGATTTAGCATTGTAAATGGAAATTATTTGGAATAAGTCAACAGGATGGGATTTCATAGAGAAGAAAGAGGACTTTAGTAATTCTAATTACAAGAAACTCCCAAATAGGCAACAACTCAGGTAAGTCACTATGACTTTTTTACATTTGGGTGCAAGCAACAAAAGTATGCTAAATATATTCAGTTAGAATTTGGCAAATAGTACTTTTTTTTACTTCAAACTGGCAAGGATATAAATGCCTAGAGGTTCCTAGGTGATGATGAGGAGATGATTTTTCAAGAATTTGAAAAGTAGAATGCCTTATCAACTAATATTAAGCCAGATAATTTGTATGGTTTCTACACACAGCATGGTTTTTCCAAGTGTGTTGGTAAAAGTGTTTCATTATGATATTATGCAGAACTGATTTCCCCACTCTTGTGTGTGTGTGTGTGCGAAGAAAAATATTCAAATCTACCACTGTAGACAGCGCAAAGACCTATTTGCATGTGCTATGTGAGTAGAATTTAGACAGGAAACTTGTTTATTTGAGAATTGGGCCTCCAATCTTTTGTTCTGCAATTTTGGCTTGAATTCTACTTTTGCATCCTTAACAATTCAGATTTATTTTATTTTATTTCATTTGCTTCTTTTTTTTATTTTGCCAATTCTCAAGTAAATGTTTCTTAACTGCTGTGTACTGTGAGCAATTAACCAAATTCTATCTTCATTCAGGTCGTCCTTTCTTGAGTTGTGAAAAGGCTGTATCTTTTACAGGTGGAGGTGCTGCTTGGTTTGTCTTTCCAAGAGTGCTGCTGTTTAAACCCAGGAACACTTGAGTCTAACTTGAGCAGAAAGTTTTTTAATATGCAACTGAATTTCATTACTGTCTTCACTGGGAGTCAGAGAATTGGGGTGGGGGGGGGGAATTATGTAGACTCTTTTGAGCTTTGTTAAGTGTTCTTTACTGAGGTCTGGTTTTGATTTATTGTGTCCTACTTTCAAGTACTTGAGGAGCTGTCCTGACATTGTGCCTACATTTGCTCTCCAGATGTATTACTCACCTTCACATCCCTTGAATAATTGGGGGTATTTATGTTCTATTGAGGTCTTTATTTTGAAGTTTAAATACACATCTAAATACTGATAGGTGACTTGATCTGTAGCTTTAAAGAATGAAAGTTAATACCAGGTGGAAGGAGAAGAGTCTAGGCATTAAGAACAGTGTGAATACATTGTCCTGCGCTAAGAAGAAAAACCTTCCTTGTAAATATTAAGATCATGAGAATGTCTACGTGTCTGGGCTTTAGAAGAGACAGGGGTTGAGGTCTCGGGCTCAGATTACAGGGACCTTGTAGACCACACTGAGGATTTGCGGAAAGGACTGAAGGAAAGCCACTGATGATAAGGAGGAATCCCAAGAACTATCCACGAGTTTTACACTATAGATGGTCAAAGTAGTAGGGAGGGTAGCAGCTTAAAGCCATTGTAAGGCTGATTTAATGTGGAATCAGATTGGGAAAGTGAAGATCGTAAAATCAGACTAGTTCAGGTTATAACACAGAATAAAGGCAACAGGACCTGTAGACTTGCAAAGACTTAAATAGGTTAAAAAAGAGAAGAATGAGTAATGACTTCTGGATTTTAACATAAATAGCTAGAAAAGTGAAGTCAACATTTGCTGACATGAGGGAAGTTATAGTTTTTTTTTTTAAAACATACTAATTTTGATAACATGGCTGAAAGGTCAAGGTAGATTCATAGGTTGGAGGTAGAAATTATATTTACAAAGAAGAGCCTGCCTGGCTATTGAAGGGGTGAGTGTGAGTGATCTGGAACAGTTGGCTTAGGGGTAGGTCTGGGACTCTCCTATGATAATTGCATCTTTAATTCTATCCAGCTTTTTAATTGGGGATCCAGATCCTAGATTGACAAGGCTAGAGAACAAATAGAAATCCAAGGGACGAATGGCAGTAGCTAGTTCGGGATAACCTCCCTTCTCTGGGACTCATTCTTTTGACCTTTTGTTATCCCAATCAACTCTCTATCACATGCTACATTTGTACACTTATCAATAAATATTTATCCACATATAATTCTAATTAATTACATATGTAAATATTTTCTCTAATGCATAAATACATGTGTACAAGTTGAATGTCATAACTGCTGCTTTTTTTTTAAATAAGCGCAATTGTACTGAATTTGACTTCACAGTTCATCTTTCTGTGTTTACATTCCTTATTGGCCATCCCTTAAAATGATATTCTTATTATTTATTAGATATATCTAGGGACTAAAGTGCTGGAACAGAAAGTTGGTAGATACTGAAAATTGAGATTAGTCTTTGTTTACTTCCAGTCCCAAAAAAAGGATTTGCCTAAATGATCCATTACAAGGAAAAAGTTGTCTCATAATGATACAAATACTGCAGTATACATTTTTCATTAATTTTCACTCTAGTTTCTATGATGTCATTCTCTGTAGAGTTAATTATAAACATTTTTACCAGGAGTTGAAATTCATTTCAGGGAGTATGATGAAAACATAAGGACTTGTATTTTGTATTTGAAGAG